AAACTCTCCCCTGACTGTGTAGTCCTGACCTTTCTGGAAGGCAGCTGGATTAAAAAAACACTTTCCTGTGCAGGTTTAATAAAGTATAAAAACATTATTGTTAGTTTAGCTGGATTAAAGAGGATGGAGACTCCAAATATTAGAGCCTCAACAACACGTCAGCAGGCTGATATAGCGTTACAGATATTGAGATATTTTATTTAAGCCAAAGTAGCAACACATTAAAAAAAACATAAAAATACTAATAATCAAGTTTTCTATTCACATTTATACTTTAATGTACCAGAGGGAGTTTTTTAATTGGTTATAAAACAAGCTCAATTTAATACTAATGCCTCTATATGGCCTACATACACTAACAAGAGCATATAGTTATTCTTAATGCCTGACACAGGTTCAGATTTGGTTGGTTTCTCATTGAAATCAATGAAATGAGGTGGTGGAAACATTACCGCTTTTGTCCACAGTGGTCGCCAATATCAACACAAAATGAAAGTTCCTTGTAGCTGCTTTAAGTAAAAGTACAAAAGTATTAGCTTATGAGCTTTAAAGCACATAGATTTTTTTCAGAGGAGGAATTGTGTGGTTGTAATGGAGATAAACTAATTGTCCTGGTGTAACCTAGTTTCAGCATGGAACTTTTGTTCCATGATAACAGGTGGTCGTAAATCTGTCAGGAATGAACTTTCATGGACAAGTTCAGCTAATTTCACTTGAATTATGCTTGAATTGGAAAGAAATAAAGTAAAATATATGTAACTACAGTAATATACATAGCATTTAAAATGATTTACATTTAAATGCAGCATAATCTTATATCTTTCATCTTTGATAATAAAGTTTATTTTTATAAACTGTATAATATTTTTACTTGGATGCATCTTTATCACAAAGTGTTTTCTTATGACGTTATGTGTTTAAATAAAAAGAATATATAGGGGAATATATTGATGCCAGATTTCTCTTATTCTGAAATATCAGTAATTATTAGTATAACTGGTTATACATAATTTAATATCCATAGAAAATCAGGAGTTGCCAACTTGTTATTCCATCAACAAAACAATCTTACAGTACACTGTGATGGCACGGTGCGGTATGTCTCCTGCCCTCCTCACCAATGTGTTTCACAAGTTGACCCCTCGAGCATCTGAGGGCCCCCTTGAGAGTCTTCAAGCAGGCAGAGGGGATTAAATCAGAAACTCAATGATTCTCTAAAAAGGTCAGTGCTTTCATAGGGTTTTCATTCTATTAAGCCTTGAGGTTGAATAACTCAAGTCCTCACCAACATAGCCACTCTGCCTCCCTAAGGCCAATCAGGGGCTACACAGGAGGGCAAGGAGAGGCTGCGGTTGGTGGAAGCCACCGGGGGGGGATCAAAGTGCTGCAGCCGTTAGACCTGCTGCTGTTCGCTCTCTAATGTGCTCCTCTGCCACCACTCTTTTTTCCACCTCTGCCATCTCTGGCATGGGAGGGGTTCTGGCCTCAGACGCCAGCACACACACAAGCTTGGTACTGTCAAGCTGTGCAGGAAGTGGTGCTGAGTTGAATTAATTAAAGGGTGAGAAAGCCGGGGTGGCTGAGACCTATTACAATCTGGTGCTTGATGCCACTTGAGAGCAGACACAGGTCTTTGAGGACTTGAAGGACAGGAGGGACCTCAGGCAGTAGAGGGCTTTTGTGCATGTTGCTGTAGGGTCAGACGTGCTGATGCAAGGGCGGTTTAACTCCTATAACTCGTGTGAGGTCTGAGGAATAACACTCGATGTGAAGGCTTCTTACATGCAGTGTGTCACTTTTTATGATGTACACATTTCAGTCCTGTGAGGCAACATCTGCCAGTGCTAGCTGTACAAAATCATACAGTTTTATGTTGTCTTTGTAAGTGACTTAATTATGACAACAGACGACAATATAACACACAATAGGTGGTGTGACAGATACATGAATCTGGAAGGATTAACACAGTAAAGAGCAGTAATCCTGCCAAAATGATATCTCTCTTCGTGATGCACACAAACACTCACAAACACTTAAGATGACAAGTGTAAGTGGACAAATTATGCAAAGGTAAAACAAATCAATGCAGCGAGTGCACAGCTGAAACATACAGGATATTAAAAAGAGATGAAGAGAAACTCTAATTCCCAAGTTAAAATCTAAAAGCAGCCTTGACAACCTACAGCACCTGACTGGCATAATATAACCGAGCCAAATGACGACATGTGTGACAACACTGCAAAGAGACCTCTCCCTACGTCAGCCGTGTATTAAGAATAGTACGAATGAGACAGCACTGCATTAATCAAGCTATTCTTAAACAACATTTTCTCCTGTGACGGCCATTCAAGATAACAAGACACACACCTAGATATATATCATATCCTAAAACGTACCTATACCTATATGTCTACTTATACACATAAACATACAGATTCACATCCCAGATCTAAAAAATTGCCTTTGATTCACTCAGATGAAAGACATCAGATTAGGGTGTATTTGCCATGAAACATGAAGTACAAAGAAAAACAAATGGAATAAAGATGGCTCCTCAAAGAGAGACAGAGAACCAAAGAGAAAAGGCCTGATCAAATAGGCTTGGTCTGAAATCTAAATCTCAAGTCCTGATTCCCCCCAAAACAGTCTCTGCTGGATCCTGTCACCCACACAGAGCCCTCTACAGTGGTATGGCACACCAAGTTGAAATGGAAGAAAATCACTTTTGGCATGTTTCCTCTTTAAAACCCACACTTTGGATGACCCGAGAGAGAGTATAAATCATTCTGTATGATGTAAAAAATCATGGTCCCCCCGGCATATAAGAAATGGTTAATGATCTGAGGTAGCTGAGAGGCTGGTGCACCCTAGTGGTGACTGCTGAATCGAGCTTTAAAGTCCTTCACACCCACTCTGCTTATGTGGAGGCTGCACTGATATTGGGTGAAGCTGCAATGTCAATATTTCATTTTGCAATTTGAAATCCAGTACAGCAGTAAGCCTCAGATGTCCACACTGTCCTATGTACCAAACCACAGCTTCCCCCCATAATAATAGCAGAGGGAACATGACACAAGGCTCATAATCCAGTTAATGGGGAGACGGGGGGGCTGGTGGCGATATTCCACATTCTCTGAATGTCAGAAATGAGTGTGGAAGGAAACGATTAGTGGTGTGAGATAAAGAGCGATAAAGGAGGGCAGAGCCAACCACAGCTCGCAGTCCATCAGCTGTTCTTGGCACTGTCAATTAGGTAAGACTTTGGTGATTACAAGAATTGGAAATTGCAGTGTTTGCCGCAGGCCAGAGAGATGGGCCTTGCTTTATGTTTCGACTCACAATTAGTGGCTAAGTAATACGGTAAGTGATTACAGCTTATCGGCAACCATCAGCATGAGAAGCCATTCCACCCCTCTTCACGTTGTGTCATAAAATCTGTTTTAATTCACTGTGCGTGACTCTCTGATTAGGTACCCAGCCTACAGTGGTACAGTGAAGGGTTAAGGGAGGCTGTATTAGTACAATGAGTCTATGGGGGAGGACAGCTACAGGCAAGGATGTGCGTAGAAGACAAATTTGAAACAGATTCAGCCCACATCTCTGTTGGCTATGATTTTCTTCCCAAACCCAGGTTTGGAAAATGTGACAACACTGCTTAATTAGTTCAAATCTTGCACTCTCTGTGACTCTCACTTCATTGCAGCAGTGTCTTTACCTGTGAGCTTCTTCACAGGCTGGAGCCTGACACTGATGGTCTGGTGGGTGAGCAGGGGGGAGGAGGGCAGCGAGCGTGACACGCCCTCCATTATGCGAATGTGCTGCATGCCCTCAGTCATGGAGAGCGGGGGCACGCCGTAGTCTCCTTCAAAGGCACAGTCACTGTCTATGCTGCCACCTGCAGGATGGGAGGGAAAACAAAATAGTATGAGATGCTTTGCTCTGCTTCCAATAGTGCATTCATTTAATTATATTCTGACGCTGTTTGGAAAAATGAAGAGTTCATTTCTGCAAAGGAAGCATGTAAGAAAGTATTAAACTATGTAGGAAAATAATAAAAATAACAAGTCTAATGTTACTGAAGCAATCTTCTCTGATTACATTCAGCTGATACTTAATTGTATTGACAGAAAATGACAGAAATGCTTTAATAATGTAATAAAACACAATTAAGATTAGGCTTTCAAAAACTCCTCTCTGACAGTGATCAAAGGGTAGTGTTTTGGGCTTCAACTAACAATAATTTCCATTATCAATTAACTTGCAGATTATATCTTTTAATTAATTTATTGTTGAGTCCACAAGGTCTTAGGAAACAAATCAGAAATGGTCATCACAATTTCCACAGAGCTCAAGGTTGTGTTTTCAACTGTTCAGAGAGTTAAATTTTTAAATTTTACAATAAAATGAAAGAGAAAAGCAGCAAATCCTCACATACAATGAGCCGGAAGGAGCAAATGTTTGGGATTTGTTCTTGATAAAAGACAAACGATTGATTATCAAAACCCAACTAATGTATGTGTATGTTTCAGCATATAGTGTTTTTTAGGAGGCTACTAGTGTTTCTATTTGTTCATCCCTACAGAAAGTGTATGACAGAGAGATGTGAGTACTCTGATAGTACCTCGGCCTAGTCTCTGGATTCTGACATCAGTGCAACACCATATTGAGTGTAACAAGATTGGCGTGACCCAGAAGAGAGAAAAGCCCTGCAGGCAACACGTGTTGTTTACTTTCACTGTTATAAACTACAGCCTGCCTGACCTCTGTAAGCCCTACAGTAACACAATACCCTATCATTTTAATATAATAAAGGAGGATTTTCTAACCATCTGAAATACGTTTAAACAATCCAAAAAAGAGCAGTCATGACCATGAGAGAGCATTTTATTTACAAAAAAAAGCTTGCACAATGAGCGGTAATTACAGACGGAGCTCAACCATTCTCCATCACTCACCCACCCCTTTTCCTCTCTTGCTTCAAAAACCACAAATTATGACAACTTATGGGGTTTTTTATTTATTTATTTTTAAACTTCACACACATTCCCTGGTGAACAAAACCCAGCCAGCTGACTGTAAACACAACATCCATTTTGTGAATCAGCTCCGCCTCAGACTGCCCATTTCCCTGCAGACGGAGCTGTAAAAGCAACTGGTCAAGCAACAGTCTCGCATCAGATAGCAGCCGCCACAGTGAGACATAAAGCCATTATCAGACACCGGTCCATGACAATTCCCAGAGGAAGCCTGTATGACGGTTGGGATGGGGTCAAATCAGTTGTTGTAATACAAATTGCAAATGCACTAGCATAAAAACACTTCCACACATGCACGAAATAACAAAAACACATCCACACCACTCTGTGTGGCTCCAGCACTGCTGGAGTCAGTCCATCCATTCACTGGGGAATGTCTGTGCAAAAGCAAAAACAACAGCCAGAGCAGTGGTTACATCCCAAAGCATGGAAATTCTCCTCATGTATGTAAAGCCTGGTGTGAATACCAAGGGGAAACTTGGTATTCTGGTAGCAATTATCGGTAGTCAAGATCCAACTCAATTTTAATGCATTCCATCCTGGATGAAAACACACAATTCTAACCATATTAACCAACAACTCTACCAAAAATGGAGCGCTTTTTGGTACACAATCTCAATACTTAGTCAATTTCTTTTCTGAACAGCCTCGTGAAAACTGACATAAACTGTCGTATGTTGAAGTAGAAATCAAGAGGTGCGATTTAGGGCAAAGATGGGAGGGTGGAGAGGAAGGAAAAACCGCACTTCAGTGGTGAGATCCAGAGAACAAAAGCATCGAGGGGGTAATAATGGTGTTTTATTTTAGACTGTGATGAAAGACATGTTTAAGGACCACTCCATGCCTTGAAATAAACACAAACACCTACTCATCGAGGTGTACGGCTCAAAACATGCACGAGAAGGGAAAGAAAAAAGGCAACATTAAATTATAATTGCCCAAAACATTTCCTGCCAAGCACTGACATTCCTGTTGTTGATAAACATCTACTCTTGTATACAGCTTATTTCCCCTAGAAGTAACTCAGCCTTACAGGCAAAATTACAAGAATATCAAATTCACACAGTTCTCTCCCTGTAAATATAACTTCATTTCCAGTAGTCATAAAGTTTTCTGCTATAAAGTCGTGTAAAATACAACCTGGCAAACAAGGCTGTGAGTTTCTACTGTAAAAACATTAAGGGAGAAGAAATGGAGTCTGGAAGGAGACCGCCAGGAGAGAAGTATTACAGGAAATGGAAAGGTAAAGGTGGTAAAAGAGCTTGTGTGCTGTTTCTCAGCAACTCGGCTTCTTATTCACTCACATAATTCACATTCACGCCTGGCAGAAGCTTAGTACACTCTACAATAAGCAATGGAAGAAAAGACAAGCTATTGCTAAGGAGCTCAGATGGCTTTAACGGGCTAAACTAAGGTCAGGGCTCCAGACTTTGCTTACTTACTACCTAACTCTTCTCTGACGTGATTGTTTTTTAAACTTGATGTGGGAGATTTTGTGTGATTTTTGCTTACCTTGGCCGACGTGGCTCAGGTGAGGGTCTAGACTGGGCGAGCGGGGGTCTGCCAAGTCCTCGCTCCCACCATCTGCAGACGAGTAGCAGAAAGAGAAAGACAGGGAGTGAGCTCGGTGATGCTGGTAGCGTGGCAAGGAGGTGCGGGCCAGCAGCAAGGCCACATCCTCCTCTCCAATCAGCCAGGTGTGGGACCGGAGGACCCCCAGCAAGCTGCTCACACACAGACCCTCCACACCCTTCCTCCTGGGGCCCAAACGGCCCCTTATGGTGGCGAAGGGGGACCTCGCTGCCAAGTTCCACTTTTTCCGACTCCCCATGGTTAGACTAAACAGTCAGTGAGGCACTATCTCTAGGGCCTGCCCATGCAGATAACAAAATAGTTTACATTACAGCCATTGTTGCATGCACAGAGTCTCGTGTTAGAGCCACAATCATAGAGCTCACTGGGCTCTACGGTTCAGTGAGCGAGGACTAGCAGTAAAATAGTGGGCGTTTCCCAGGATAGATCCACATACGGTTAATGATATGAGGATCAATTACGCCCAAGGGAGCAGGCAGGCAGAATTAGCCACAGTGGATGGAGCAGAGAAGAGGGGAGTGGGGGGGCGGCATCACTGGGCAGCACAGTCAGTGTCACCGGGGGATTGTTTCATAATCCTGTTCAAGTGCGGATAGATCTACTGTAAAGCACGACAGGCCGGCAGAGGAGGAACAAATGATTTACACTCAGAATAAATACATCCCACTGGAATTTAGAGCGCTATTAATAAAATCTAAACTATGATGATGTATGAAAAGTAGCCTAAGCCAATGGATTTTCCATGTGTAGAGGGATCAAAGATTGTTGCATTAAGTAGAAAGACAAGAACCATCGTTATCGCAAAAAGGATTGTATATTTTGGCAAGCCCCGCATTGTGTTTCAATCAAAGAGCTCACCATCAGCCCAGAAAGCCCAAACAAATACTCAAGTATTATCTCTCCCATCGCAGATTCACACACTGTGTGCCAGTAGCTACACAGCAGGCTAGATTGGCTCGCTGGTGGAAAGATCAAGCTTGTCGATGGACAGATAGAATAAGCCGTGGGGCATGATTGTGTGAGAACTGGGCCATCCTGAGATTGACACTGATTGTGGAAGGGAGTCCTCTGCAGAGGTTTTTCAGTGCTCGCTTCCTGACCTGAGCCACCATGTCAGGATGTGTCAAATTAATAGGTATACCAACAAATTGTGACATGTTATGCAACCAAAACATATCATTTTGGAGTGATTTTGAGAAATTTCAACAGTGCAACCTTTTCATTCTTGGTTTACAGACAATACCATACATCCTGCTGCTAACACCTCTGACACCTCCTGTTCTTGTATGTTCAACACCAACAAACCAACCAAAAATAGATTCTCACCTCGTATACCTGATGAGCCATATCGTCTAGTAAAATCAATGTCGTGAAAATCAATACGGGCTTTGAAGACGATGTGCTCTAGCTACGAGCGCTGCTTGCACAGTGAGCCATGAAAACACACACACACACACACGCAAGCACGTACAAAGAGTGTGACGCTGTGAGTGGAAAGCTCAATGATATACAGTAATAGATTTTGCACACTTGCTATGCTCCTGCGGTGTGTCTGATTAGCACCTTAGGTGACGTTTTGAGCAGCTTGCTTGTCATCAGATGAGTTCAGCAGCTCGAAATGTCATATCTGAAGCGTTAATAATTTAAATGAACAGAGGACAATAAACAGTAGAATTAGTTACAATAGATCATAAGTTATTGGGCTTCATCTTCTTCGGTTGCGTGGTGATATTATTTAATTTTAAAAACTGAAACAGTGCTCCTGATTGTGACACATGCTGTATTACACATAGCAAGTAGATCTGGTGTTAAAAAAAAAGAAAGAAAAGAAAATAGCTGCAGGCTTTGCTGGAAATTAAACAACTTTTATTGGGGTTCAATTACATTCCACCCACAACACAACAATTGGACATTAAACCATCAATTTAAATTACTTTGTTACTGAGGTTTTGGGACAATTCCACACAGCAACAAATGTGGCTGTACCTCTTTACGGCAGCCTCCTTTCGCTCCACCACCAGTTTTTTTTAGGCTTGGGAAACGCATCTTTGTACCTCTTTCATTAAAAAAAAGCTCCTATTCTTCTGTGCAGATTGCTCTCTTGTTACCAGTGATCACAGTACAATGTCCTGCCACACAAATCAATGGCCTATTAAGCAGGAAACACGAAAGGGGAGGACCTATGGTTGACAGAAGACAGAGACATGTTTTCATTCCAGCCTCAGAGACAAACAGTGGACACCATTCTACTTCCTTACTGAACATCTGTCAACCACTTGTGTCGAATACAGCTGAACACAGCTCAGTATATCAGTATCCGATTCAGAGTCAGAACAGACAATCTTCACTCTGTAACCACATCCTATTCGGCTGTAAAATCAAAGCTCTCTCTGAATGTAAAAGACCATCTCCTAAACCGAAGAAATATGGGTGCACTTACTCTGTTGGCTATTCTTTGGAGCTGTAATGCCACGGTGCTGTGTTAGGATGTCAAAGGAGCAAGCCAATTTCTCACTTGGACAAAGAGTCATTACGGGAGAAGTCAGCGTGACATCTGATAGTGATCCCATGGAGCATGGCGGAGAACTCCGCTATCATTATCGTTCAGACTGACTTTGATGAACCTGCCGTGTTCACAGTGTTCAATGTGACCTCTGCTCCAAAAAGAGGCTTCTTTCCCAGGTGTCTGAGGATGATTACTATAAATTGTGATCACTTTTAGCAAAAAAAAGAGCCTAAAAGACAGAAAGCTAACTCATCACTAGTTATGCATAGGGGTTTTTGATCTTTACGCTGGATGTCCAAAGGTTCTGAATAACTAATCTGGAGAATACGTGGAACAAATTACGATTTGAAATGGATTCAGTTCTTTTTCTGTGACTGATCGATCACGTCACACCAAAAAGGAACCAATTGACTCGCTCCAAAAGTGCAATCGATGCCCGTCTTTTACTTCTGGGACCTTCAATGGAAAGGGAAAAAGATTGCAACTGAGCCATGTAACTGAGACACATCCCGGATATTAGGAGCCCAGAGAATTACATCCTTCAGTTCAATGACTTCACTCAGTGACAGTGATTCAATGTTCGGTTCAGTTCCTCCCTGGCTTATTTCTTACCTTTGCTGATTGCCTCTGTGTGGCCCTAATGTTCTTGCATTGCCAGCTTGTTGTCAATCCCCCGTTTCTCACCAGGAAGCAAACTAGGGCCCCTAATTAAAACACCCGCATTCTCCCTGTTGCTCTCCATGTCACAGCTAATGTTTCTCACCATTCATCACAATAACATTCCAGGTTAGGAACAGAGGGGCCACAAAATCTTTCAATGAGTAGTTCCAAAGACTCTTCATCCAATTTTATCAGTTTCTCTGTAATCCACTACACCAGGCACGGAAAGTCTTTGTACTCTGTACTGCATACCTTAAAAACAGACAGAATAATACATAATTGTGTACATTTAGTAAAAGAATGGATGCATTTATAATTAAGTGCATACCATATTTGCGTTATACTAGACTCTTATTGCACACATTTTTCTTGAGAGAGCTAAATTATCTCAAAGCCCTATTAATCTTATGTTGAAACAGAGGAATCATGTGCGAGCTACGGTAATAAAACACCCTGACATTTATTGAGCACACGCTAGCCCACACACAAATAAAAACGAATGTGCAAACCATATATCACACAAAGTTGTTGTGTGTGAGCAGATGTACCACGGATAATTTACCAAAATAGAGACTGATTTACAGAGTGCTGAAAAGTTTGAAATTGGAAAAGGTAAATGTCAGGCAGTGAATCAGTGCTGTGTGCCGATTCCTGCGGGGAGCAACAATCGGTGCTGCCAAACTGCAACTTCTGTTGCCACCAGAGAAAATACTGGGATGTGACAGCCCTTGCGCCTTTGAGCATGGCACTTAAAAACAACCAATTCTCAAGCGGACGTCACAAATCTTGAGGAAAAATGTTATCCAGGTAATCACAAAGTTTAGGTACACATAATGGCCCATGATTCCTTTACTTTTATTATAATTGTTCAATCAATGAAAAAATGTAAAAGAAGCTTATCACAATTTCTTCAAACTATTTATCAGACCAACAGCCCAAAACCAACAAGTATTTATTTATGCTTCATAAATGACTGCTTTGTTTCTGCCAATCAATTAATCATTTCAGCACTATTTGTGTCTCAAGTTGCAGAGGTAAACATTTTTTCACCATACTGTTTTTGCTAACCATCAACTAATCATAAAATCATTCCATGCAAGGTGTGCGGTTGTGTGTTGAAAGGGAGTTTGGTTCCAGTCAAACATTTCCTTGCTCCTCTGCTTTGACATTCATTTAAAAGTAGGATTTAAATCATATTCACAACAAAGTGGAGCATCTTAATGAATCACAGCAGCACAGTCAGTTGCACTGAGCCATATGAGAGCGCAGACATCTGCTCAGTTGTAAAGTTGGCGGACATCTTCATTAGCATCAGTTTAAGCTAACATAAAAATGCATGCATACTCCGAAGGATACACATACACACACACACACACACACAACACACACAACACACACAAACACCACACACAACTACACACACACACACACACGACAACACACACACACACACACCACCTTCTGGTGAGAGAGCTTGTTCAAGTGTTTTCTCTCTTGCAGCACTGAGCCAGCCCTGGTCTACCACAGGAAGTGGAGGGTTCTGACATCCTGCCAATGTAAAATAATAGGAAACTGCGTTCATCCAAACCACAACAAACACATTTACTGTATATGCGTACACACACACAGCCATACACAACATGGAGAAAGGTTGATATACTGAGATGAGACCAAAAATATTCTTTGCAGGGGATACTTGAGTCCAGATTTCAACAGAGTCAATAACAGGGTTCTACGTTGGTCTTGAACAGTGTAGCTTGCACTTCTAAACTTAGTCTTAAAATGAAAAAATTATTTCATCATACGTCTCACTTTCCCAAACAAT